TGACTTGCAAGGTCACTGACAGAACAGATTAAAAGCGCGTTGTTCCTCAGGGAAAGAACCAAAAAAAAAAGAACAGAATAACCGTCTGTCTGTCAGAAGGATTGACTCCTTTGTCATACACCGGTATTCTCTCCAGCAGTTCCTGTTCTCTTTCGGTGCATGAATCATAGGCTGAGTGTTATTTTGGGTCATTCGTACCTTGGAGGTGTCATGCCCTCAGTTTAAAAGGTGATGCCATTTGCTAAATATTTTTAAATGAAAGAAATGGCATACTTAAAGCTGTAAGTTACTTCAGTTGTAAAATAATGAGTGGGCGTCTTAGAGTATCAAATGTAACCTCATAAAAGGATGGAATTGCATGGCCCTTATGTAAAGGTTCAGTTTGATTCAATAATATTATGGTTATATTTTGCTTTAATAGTATATCAGACCATAACTGTCAAGTATTTACCTCTTTCAAGGTACATATAGGATTCATTACACTTTGGTAAATTCGAGGAAGTGGAAAACACAAAGATGAAGCAGAAACATCAAACAGGTAAGGAATGAAATCAGATGTTCACCTCACTGAAAAGGGCTTTGGGGGAAGTGTGTAAAGGCTTGATGTGGGGCAAAAACCTCATGTCCAATCATTGCAAACTGTCATTTCATATCTCCTCAGACGAATCAGAGCCCCTTTGCCTCGAGAATCCATTTTAAATCAGTCATTACTGTTTTACCTCAAGTGAACTGGAGGGAGACGCTCACTCCTTCCCTCAGTATTTTGTATGGATAAAGCTATGAGGAATTAAATTGAAATCAAATGGGATTTCAAGAGGCTGAATGCTTGTGGAAATTATTTATGCCCCATTGTACTGCCACTTGAAAAGGATGCCCACATCGTTGAGATGTCGTCTTGCCTGAGTCTTCTGCTTTGAGGTTGCAAGTATGCATTCTTTCGGTTAGTATTTTTCGTTTGTCTAGAAAAGGTCAGCATCATTTTTCCACCTTGCGTAAGGTGTAGAGACATTGCTAAATGAGCGGTTCACAAAGCATTACGCCCACCTCCCTGTTTTGTTCTCCTGTTAGATGACAGGTCTGTGGGGTCATCTGAGACCACTGTGCTTGCTTTCACATCTTGTTGTAGCCTATTGTTGAGAACTAGCTCTTCAGTGGTACCTGTGCCAATAAACAAATCAATGTTATTTACGAGTAAAGCTAAACATCATTGGACTCTTTTCACAGCCTGTGATGGGAAAAAAAGTGAATGCTGCCATGAGGGTGTTTCTAATACAGCAGCTGTGGTAATGACAGTAAATTTGACATCATTTTGTCTTCTGACTGCCATTATAAATCTCTCTCTATTTTTCCTCTTTTTGAAAGTCGTAAAAAAAACACTATGGAGTTTTTCTTTTGCTATTTGAGCAAATGGGAACACAAAACAATATATTTTATGGTGTCTCTGTTCACCGCTGTAGAAGTTTACCCAACTATGTTGACTAATGAAAAACCCAGAGATGTGAATAGGGACCATTATTTGTTTTTATGGACTCAAAACACTTTTTTTTTTTTTTTTTTTTTACA